CGTCTATGCATGACCCAGACCCCACCATCTCATGATTGTATGTGTGTGGAGTGATGCCATGTAGGTCAGTCTATGTGAGTCAGTCTATGTGAGTCGGTTCATTATCAGACTTCCGCTGCATAAATGCTCATCCTATATTGGTTGATCTTTGGTTCTGCCCATGCTCATTGAAGTATGTAACAGTTTTGGTATCGGAGCAGACCAAAACGGATCTGCTCACCAGGTAAGACCATTTAGATTAGATTATCACGTTTGATCTTCTAAATCGGCGCTGAAGTATTATCAAGTTCAAAGTTGCAAATTTTTTTTTTTTTTTTTTCTCTTTTCGGTATTCTCGCTATTTTGGCATTTCCGTTTCAATTCGGTATTCGGACTTTAAAATCCGGTTTTCTGTTATACACGGTATGCTGTTTAAAGAGATCCGAGAGATTGATACTAATCCAACATTCTGTCTGATTCGGATTTCTGAGTAGGTATTCGTAATTAGGGTTGAATCAGTATCATGTTTGAAATTCGGATTTTTGATGTTTATTCAGCATTCCGTTTTTTGGCATTCTGTTGTAAATCCTACGTTTCGTTTTCTATTGAGATTTCCGTTGTCTTTCAGTATGGGAATTAGGGTTATGAAAATCTTTTGGTTTTAGATCAACTTGGGGGAAACCCGAACGTTTTGGGACCGTAAATCCGGAAATTTCGCCGAAACGCGGAAATTAGGGTTGGGACCGAAATTTTTGCGAAATTTTTTTTTCGTTCTCCTTGTTTGAGAAAATCCGAAAATAGGTTTAGGCTTTTAAAAAGCGGATTTTGACGGTGGGAAGTCTCGAAATTCGCATTTTTGAATTTTCGAGCGTTTTTCTTCTGAAATTTTCCGAAAATTTTTTTTTAGCACACTAAGCCGTATCTGACCTTAAATTGCAACTACCGGGCAGTCCACTTATTAAACAGTGAACTCCCGGTCTCATATTGATCTCAAAGAGACCTGATCATAATACCTTTCAAATTCGTTATTTGGTGATCATTATTTACAAACATTGTTTACCGATTATCATTCGGATTTATTTCGTGAATTTTCATTAATTAAAATTTATTGATTAAATCGTTATAAATTCCTTATTACGAAATTTTCAAAGGGTTTACGGGAAATTATTTTTTTCGTTGATTAGGTGTCTACAGTCCATCAGTGGGACAGGGGATTGTATGTATCTTGCTTGATTGTTCTACCCCTGTTCCCACTCTCCCTACCCCCCGTGTTCTGTGATTACCGGGACTTCTCAAGTACCGCATCAGCTCAGACTGATGTCGACAGAACAGGACACCGGGGCACTGCCACGACGCAGTGCCAGAATCGCAGTTCGTACCCGCCCTGCAGTACCTCCAAGACCGAAGAAACTCAGCAGACGGACAACTCCAGCAGCATCAAGTACGGCATTGACGGTACAAGAAGCCACCGGAGATCATCCCACATACCCAGTCCGAGGAGCCAATGAGCCAGCGGCTGATTATCGTGGGCGGCTACTGGCATTTTCAGAAGCCGTAGCTGCCGTCGAGGCCCGGAAGGAGATAGCAGAGGCAGAACGTCAGCGGCTAGCCAATGAAGCGGCAGCCGAAGCTCAGCGAACGACTGAGACTGACGCAGCGACACGAGACCGACGGAATGCCAGCAGCACGGAGTCCTTGATCGCTTGTGAGCATCAGTGGACGACGATACTCCAAGACATGATCTTTGTGCCTACAGAAGCGCAGGCAGACCCGACACCGGCGGAGGCAGAGAGAAGTAACCTGGCTAACTTGCTGTTGGGCATGATGAGAGGTATTATGTGGAATAATACACTGCTGCAGTCACATCTGCGCGCGGACGGAACGCAGCGACAAACATACAAGAATGATATGACTACGTTAACCACTGCTATCCGCACAGAGGCAATGCAGCAGCAGCAACAGCATCAACTGTTGAATTCCACTGTCACACGCGTCAACAGCATAGAGGCTAACGCCTCAGCAGCGCCAGGCTGCATGACAGACGTGACGAAGCAACTCAACGAGCGCATCGATCACGTCGTCACCATCATCGGCGACATAAGTACGTTCACTGGACCAGACTCGATCAGCAGCACGGTGGCCGCCATCAAGACGGACCTCACCAAGCTACAGACGAGACCGGAAGCCGCTACAAAGACATTCAAAATGTCGCACTTCGACATCAGCAAGTTCGACGACTACAACAAGTCGGACGCCTTGTCATGGTGGCAACGCTTCCTCACGGAAGCAGCATGCCGCATGGTCCCGACGGACGACATGTTGAAGGCAATATATCTGCAGCTGATTGGAGGAGCGCAGGGATGGATGAACCACTTAGCGGCTACACACAAGTGCACTATCGCCGAACTCCACACGCACATTACGTGGAARGAGTTCGAGCAGYTATGGTTCMCCCGGTTCATGGTCCGCAACGTCGTGAAGGCGGCCATGAATGAGGTGTACACATGCTCTCAAGGGAACATGCCAACTCGAGACTGGACAACGAAGTGGCAAAA